CTTCCACCCAGCGCCCATTCAGTTGGGCATCGTCTAAGGCATCAAAACGGAGGGTCCCCAAGTTGTAGGGGGGGCTGGGCTTGAATTCGCTTTCATAATACGCAACGGTGAATATACTCTTCACCGCGGGCCCACACCCCTCTTCGGCCCTGGCCCCCTTGACAATTGCGACGTCAAAGCGCCGGCCCCATTCCCTGGCATCGGCATCGGACATGGCGATGGCCCCCTGGTGGCCAACCTCTATGTCCCGTGCGGCGTCAAAGGGGATGTACTCTTTGTCGTTGGGGAGTGCGGAGAGGTGCCCGAACAGCAGTGGGCGCTCCCCCGGCACTGGGCCAATGTCCCTACAGAGAGAACCGATGGCGTTGCTGGTGAGGGCACCATGGCGACTTAGAGGCGGGCAGAATCATGGCGGGCAGACAGAATCGCACACAGTGCGTTCGTACCTGCGATGGGTGGGCGAGGGATATTTGGAGGTAGTGGTGGGCGTCGTCTGGTGGCGGTGGAGGGGGTGGCCAGCGAGACGGGGGACAAGCTGTCCAACCACAAGGCGGCCCCCTCGTCGATGGCGAACGTGGTTCTGCCACTCCCGTCCAAAGGGAATGTGCGCTCATGAGAGGCAATGAAGCCCTCCCACCAGCGCACGGCCCCGGCCATCCGGCAGAGCTTGCGCTGTTTGATGTCCTCTGTGGCGGCGGGGTCCCCACACACGTCGAGTTGGCGCCTCCACCTGGACAGCTTCACGAGTAGCCTCTTCTTGACTTCCACAAGTCTTGAAGTGCCGCCCGTGGCTCCCAACGCAGGTCGGCGAACCTTGGGGCGGGTTTCCCCAGGACGAACACTGGTCACCCACGGCCGTCGGGCGTGCCCACCCAGGGGCAGTCCTCACTATCGTGTTAAGCGGTGAAGGTGGCCGCGCATCAAAGTGCCATCCGGTCCGTTAAATCCAGTTCGTTAATTTTTATCAGCTGTCCGTTAAATTTCGTTAAAGAAAAAGGGAGAAAAATTCAGAAAAACGAAAAAAATTTAAAAAAATCGAGAAAAAACCCAAAAAATCACAACAACTGCGGCTAGTTGAAAATCTAGTATGCATAGGTTGAAATAAAATACAAACATACTCTCTAATAGCGAATTCCATAAACTATAAGTATGAAAAAAACCCAAAAATCCCCAAAAAATCCAAAAATCCGCTAATTTTTCGTTAATTTTTGTCTTTTTTCGTTATTTTCCGTTAATTAACGGAATAATTAGCGGAATTAACCTCTGTCCGCTATTAACGGATCCGGGTGGCCACCTCTAGTTCGCGGGCATACACGATGGGCACCCCCCCTCCAAGAGGAATTTAAACGAGTGAAAGCACCTGCCCGAAGGAGCGCACACCACAATAAAGCGCCGTCCAGCTGGAAAGGCGCTACTGTGGTCGGCGCCATCCGCGTGAGGACCAAGCCGCAGGAAGCACACTGGAAAATCGAACACAAATCAAGGAGCCCAGCCCTGGAACGCCGCAAGAGACCTTGAAAGCTTGCGCGCGCCGAGCGCACAAAATCTCCCCGGGCGCCACCAGGTGCTGGCCAGCAACAGACACTGAGCACACCCGCGATTGGGAGAGGACAAGGATGGTGCGGTTGGTGGGTCTGAAAACAGGGGACCAGCCCACCCCGCAACAAAGACGTGCAGCGCCTCCCGGGAAAGGGAGAAGCAAAATGGGGCGACGGCACCAAGATCCACCACGCAATTGCAGCTATGCGCAGGAGCAAACGGGGAAGAAAGCAGCGCAACACGGGCTGCATCTAGGAGGTGGAAGGAACCCCGGAACCACGGCCACAAGCAAGGCAGCAACTTTGAGTTTGCGCGCGCGACACGCGCGAACGCAGGCAAATCCCTCACTCGACACAGGGCGGGTCAACAGAGGTCGCCCGGGCCGGCCACACCACGCACACCTCATGTTGTCCCTCCCGGTTCCAAGGCCTCTGAAGGTGTGCATCCGGACGCCCGCATCCCCATCCTCGGCGTCGTCCTCCTCCTCCTCAACACCTTGCCGGCAGTCGCGCTTGTACCTGAGGAGGCGCCTAAAGTCGGCTACACGGTAGAGGTGGCCACCCGGATCCGTTAATAGCGGACAGAGGTTAATATCCGTTAATTTTCCGTTAATTAACGGAAAACAACGAAAAAAGACAAAAATTAACCAAAAATTAGCGGATTTTTGGATTTTTTGGGGATTTTTGGGTTTTAGTCATACTTATAGCTTACGGAATTCGCTATTAGAGAGTATATTTGTATTTTATTTCAACCTATGCATACTAGATTTTCAACTAGCCGCAGTTGTTGTGATTTTTTGGGTTTTTTTCGACTTTTTTGGATTTTTTTCGTTTTTTCTGAATTTTTCTCCCTTTTTCTTTAACGAAATTTAACGGACAGCTGATTAAAATTAACGAACCGGATTTAACGGACCGGATGGCACCTTTGAGTGGCCACCTCTACTATACGGTCCACACGTGTGTTCACCTTTCGCGAACTCCCCATGTTCGCGTGCTCCTCCCACGCCCGCTGCGCCACCCTCATCAGGTCCCCTAGGCACAACGCCCCCTCCCAGTTGATGGCGGAGGCCACCAGGCTGAAGATGGCATCTATCTCTTGGTGCGTGTGGCCTACGGGTAAAAAAAAATGCGCACCTCCCTGAACACCCGCTCCCCCACCAGCATGGCGTAGAACCCAAGTAGGTAATGGTTCTTGTTGTCCTTTGCCGTGTTGTCCATCTGGATGTGCAGCACGGGGGGCAGGCCGGGGCCGGGGGGCAGGAGCCCGGGCGTGGCTTTGTCGCAGCGGCTGATGTCCCGGACCATCTTGCAGAGGCAGGTGAGCGTCAGGTTGCTGGACGCCTCCCACTCTTGGGAGGCCTCCTGTAGTTACCTTGATAATGGTGATGAAGATCCAAGACTCCGGGCTTGGAGATCTGGGCCCGCATCACTGCCCCGATTTGCCAAATTGACCTCAAGTCGTAGCCAAAACTCTCGGCGAGTTCGGTGATCAAGCCACTCGGAACCCGTTTTCTGTTGCCTTGCCACTTCATAAGGACCGCCCCCACCTTGAGCCTGAGCAGCGTGGAAAGTTCTGTATGGGCGGCTCTGTTCTGCCACCGTGAAGGCATGGCCTTCACCATCGCGGAAAACGGCCGCTTTCGCGGAATTGTTGAAAAACCGGTGGTTTTCTGGCCGGAGGACCCTTATTATAAACTACTGCCAAATCTTTAATACTTAATGGAATGACGTGAAATTTTGACTGTGATCTTCGAAGACATAGAAAAGCTTCTAGCAAATTTTCATTGAAAAAGAAGAAATTTGTAGTGGAAAAGTTATGCGCCAAAATCATAGAGGATATTTAATATGGGACGGAGGAAGTAGATGGTAATACGGTGGGATGGCCTCTTCAAAGCCACCCTGAGTAAGACCAAATGGTCAATAAGGATAGTCAAAATGGGCCGAATCTAGTGGCACGACCTAAAGTACTAGAAAAACATGGCCACAAGCAGTTTGAGAGTGTGGGGGGCGCCGCCATGCCTTGTGTCGAAGGCAACAAGTGCAAATTGGTCCACAACACCCTCTAACCGCTTCACTACAATATACACAAGTGCTCTGGGTGTGACGGGTAACTCCATGGCATTTGCAAAGAAGTCAATCCTAATGAGGATTCACAAATGGACCATGTGTGTAGCCTTTGCTACGATCGTGTTGTTGTGCCACCTCAATCCATTGTCGACAAGGGGCAAAGTATGGGCGAGTTGCTGCCACCATTCGACACTATGGATATGACCAAGGTCAAATCTTGTTTGAGAGCGATTCGGAGATTGCCAAACAATTGGACAAGGACAACGCCAATGGTTCTGGCGTGAACAAAGACTAGTTCAAGCGGCTAAAAGTGGAACGAGTGGCCGCTCAAGGGGGGAGGGATAAACGCACAAGGTTGACAATAGTATAGAAGGTTGGTATTTTGGATTCTTTGAAGGCCACAATTGGCCACGCTGCCTTGGCCAACAAGTTAAATTGCAGGGACAGAACTATTCCACAAACTACACGCAAAGGCTTTTATAACCATGCTGTAAGGTTGGCTCTCGGATCCACGACAATCAAGAATATCAGGATGTGAATGCCCAAGCTTACTGGGTTGTTTCTGCTCTGGGCGGCAAGACTTTGTGCCATGCAGGGCATTCGCAAACCAAGGGCCCTTGGGTACCTCGTACACTAGGCACTCAGGCATTTAGCATTGTGTTTAACGTGGGCACGGGGGCGTCCACAACCCCAAAGCACCGGTCACCCAGTTCAAAACCACCCTACTTCTATTGGAAAATTACCTACTAGTTGCCTATTGACAATCAATACTACCAAGTTAAGTATTATGCTTCTTATTGGGCAACACATAAAGTACTATCAATATTTTGATATCATAATGCCTTAAAAATAATCAATATATACACCACATGATGTTAAATTTGCCATAAATGGCTTCTACAGCCTTAAATAGGTTGTGGACCTCAATAAGGCCAACGGCCAATTCGGCTGGTGAAATGGGGTTGTCAAGGGGCGGCCTTAAAAAGAGGCCACCCCACTGTACATCAGAATATTTGGTCGCGGGACGGGCATACGGCGTCCCGCGCGATCCCCTGAACCCCAAAACCTACGCCCGCGGGACGGGTGGGATCGCACACGTGGCGTCCCGCGCCCCTGTCTTCCGCTTGAGAATGGTCGTATTCCGTATCGCACAAGCGTCTGGTGAGCTTCCGATGGTGCCGATGCTGTCCACGGGCCCGCACGCACCCAATCCAGCTCCCACCCCCTTCCGCCATGGGGGGCGAGCGGGTTGCCCGGAAGGCGGCCCAGGAGCGGCCCGACGCCGGTCGCCGGTCGCCGCCCGACCTGGCCGCCTACTCCTCCAGCCTGCGGCGCGTGGCGCAAGTGGCCGGGACCGCCGATTTGGCAGCCAGGAAGGACCTGTTGCCGCGGCTGATGGCCACGTTGGTGGCAGCGCAGGATGACGCGGAGCGCGGCGGGTGGCTGTCTATCGTGTCGCGCCTCTCCCTGCTGCCTTTCGGCTCGTCCGTGATGGACATCAGCGGGCCTGAGGGGGATCTGGACATATCGCTGGAGGGGGAGGTGAACGGGAGGAGCCTATGGCGGGCGGGGCGGGAATTCAAACAGAACCTGCTGCAGGAGGTGCACAGAGTGCTGGAGGAGGGCGGAAATTTTGCGAAGAGGGGGCGGCGGCAGCTGGTGTTGGGCGCTAGGTGGCCCATCAGCAGGTTTGTGGAGGCGCAGACGAGGGTGCCGTGCGACTTGTCGATCGGGAACACCATCGGCGTGTTCAAGAGTCAGCTGCTGGGGGCCGCCCTGGGCGTCGATCCCAGGCTGAGGAGTCTGGCGATGGTGGTCAAGTCCTGGGCGCGGTTCAACGGTGTTAACGACCCGGCGAATGGGACCTTCAACTCGTACTGCCTCACGCTGCTGGTTGTGACGTTCGCGCAGGCGCGGCGGCCTCCGCTGCTGCCACCGTTCCGGAAGCTTTTCCGGGGGCTGGAGGTGGTCTTGGCAGAGTCGGGGCCGGCGTTGCAAGATGGGTGGTTGTTGGGCACGGTGCAGGGGTTCAGGAAGATGGTGGTGGCGTGGGGGAGGAGAAGGGACCGGCCGTGCAACAAGGAGAGCCTGCTAGAGCTTTTCCTCGGCTTCCTGAGGGCGTTTTGTTGGCTGGTGGAGGAGAGCAAGTGGCAGGCGTCGGGCGGGGGGTGGGGGCTGCCACAGTGGCGGATGAGCGCCAGCCCATGGGAGGGCGGCTTTAAGGTGATGCATATGCTTTTTGACTTCCCAGGATCGAGGACTCGTGTCCCAATGCAGGCCCAACGTGTCACAGCACGGTGACATTGATCATCCATTGGACGTGTGGCTGTCAGTCAGACCAGACGTTGGCCATCCTCATGTCCACCTAACTTGTCTGGATGTGTGCTTTTTTAAGACTCTAGCCTGAATGAATTATTGAAAGGTTCCATTTCACTTCTTGGGCAAGTCGTCAACACCATGGCCATGGACATGATTGGAACAATCCGCAGGCAGACACAGGGGTGACATCGCCTTGCAGGTGCAAGGGCTGCATTTCACCACTCTTCGACATATGCAGTCAAAGATCTTGCTCGTGGTATCACATGGAGATGGCCAGGCCGCGGACAACTGACTCATCTTTTGTCTAACTTCCAGGAGCTGAGCTGGGAGCCGTGGGTTGCCGACTCGCACCATCTCTTTGTGCAAGACCCCTTTGAGCGCCATGACAACTGCGCACGGACATTGAAGACCATGGAGTGGTACAGGGTGGTGCAGCTTCTGCACAACACCAACACAAGTGTCTGCCACTGGATGGGACTTCCTGCCAGCAAGATGGAAGCCAGCTGGGACAGGTTCATGGACAGCCTGTTTGGACAGGGCTTGTCACCTCAGCTGCAAGTGCAACCACCCCCCTTGAGTCCCTCACTGTGCATGCAGCATCAGATCCTGGAAGATCAGCCCCAGGTCCTTCCCATGAGCCAACAGCCTCTGCCGAACGCCTTCCAGCAACCGTGCAGCCAAATCCCCCTGAACGCATGCCATCAGGAAGAGCAGCAGTACTACACTGGGCCTCCTGCGCACCAAATGCCGGAGGCCTTCACATGGCAGCTTCCCAATGTGACGATGATTGGCACAATGCAATGCATTCCAGTTGCATGGGCCCCAACAGGCTATTTGCCATCCAGATCGATTTTGGATGAACAGATGAACAGGTGTTTCAATGCTGCGGTTGAGGCGGCAGTCAATCGATTGAAGCAAATGGCACAAGAAGATAACGATGGTTTGGATGCTGTTGCAAAACCTGTGCAAGTCCATCAAAGTGGGGACAGTGAACCACATGAAGATGTTGTGGGGCTGACAAAGGTTGTTCAGATCAACCCAACTGTGGATGGCAAAAGTGCAGAGGCCGTCACAGCATCTCAAGGAAAAGATCAGAATGGTGTGGTTGTGGATGGAAAATCTGGAACAAGTGGGACTGGGTCTGAAGAAGGGTGTGCTGGTCTGGGGGAGGAATGCTCACCACATTCGCCTTTGCTGCCACCTGTGTGTGCACAGCCATTGCCAGAGTGAAAGCTTCCAAGCTCCCAGATTCGATCGGTGAATGGGAGAGGGTGAACAGAGAAGTGGCTATGCACAAGAAAACATGTCTGGAGGATGCAAAGAATGCTGGCAGCGCAGTTGGGAACAATGCTGGCTGACAGCAAGAGAAAGTCTTGTGGTTACAACCCATCGGCCAGCAACCTGAAACAGCCCCTTTGTGGCATGGCTCTGGTGGCTGGCCATCACCATGATGGGATAATACACAGCAATGCACATTGCGGGATCCTTGACATGGCTTTACTGAATCCAAATTATTCTCGACGAGTTGAACTGCAGCGCCTGTGGTGCGCATGTTGGAGGCTGCCAAAGCCTTCACCATCTGTGCTATGACTGAGACTGCTGTGGCCACTAGGTGACCCACTATGCTGGCACCATTGACAGCAGATGACATGATCTGCAATTGAAGAATGTGGGAGGGAGGAGCACAGGCTTTGACCACAGTGCACAGCTGGATCTTGTCACCACCAAGACAGACTCGATGAAATATGCACTGGGCGCATCACATACTCCGAATGGTGAGGCGTCACACAACGTCCTGATGGGCTTGCACGCTGTGAAAACGTGAAAACGCATGCACAGGGGAGAACTGCTAAGTGCCAGGAATCGTCCAGGAGGCTGTGCACTGCGGCATTCTGAGGTGCACATGTTCAATCATTGGGCTGTTGAAGATGGCATCACGATATTGGTCTGCGGCATGGCATGGATGCCAGGAGCAGTATTTAGTTTCCGTTGGCATGGAACCTCTTAGTTAATAGGCAGTGCAGAATCCAAAAAAATTTGATTCGGTTGCTGTATGTTTGCGTCCCAAACTCAGTTGGATTGCAGAATCGGGTGCGGCCAAGGCGGCCAGAACATTAATTACACGATTTTGACAATAAATGGGCGTGTGTATAAGGCAGACTTGCAGATCCGGTTGTGTTGGACGCAGTTCGTTCAATCTTCGTTTCTTGCATGTCTTGTGCGCCCTCCAGTGAAAGTTCCTCTGCGTGTTTTCATTCGTTATGCCCATCGCTTCCCATGGAATACACATACCACACTGACAGTGTGCCTGCCACAAAAGGGTGTTGATTGCTCCATGAAATGGGCAATGTGACGATTAAATTGTTTAAATGTCTCCAGCTATGAAAGGCAGAGCGGCCATGCACATGGAAATTCAATGGACAAACAACTGTTGGAACTGGATGCCCCTGGCCGCTTTCGCTGCGGCCTCCAGCACTAGGAAAAAGAGGACCAATAACACTTTTTGCAAAAACATATACTACTTCTGTCTCAACAGTACTGTCCGAATTTTGTTTCACGAAAACTAAGATCAAAACATATGAGTCAGGGAAATTGAGCTTAAATAACTCTGAAGCGCCTTTTTAAGAGCTATTCATAGCAGCCTTGAATGTCACAAACGACCCAGTGGTTGTTGAGTTATGCCTTGACGTGCCGAAGTGGGGCTTTGAACGTTGCAAGCAATTTGTTGCTGCCATGGCGAGCTCGTCTCGCCCACCGAGAAGGGTGGAGTCGGTTGATCTGCCACTGGGGAGCCACTATTCCTTGGTCCTCAGGTGCGTGCTCGCAATCGATGTCTCTAGCAATTGCATTCTGTATGGGAAGGTGCTGGAGACCATAACCCAATTCAGAATTTGAACAACGACCATGAAGATGGTGGTCTAGAGCAATGGAATGGCTGGATCGGTTCGATAGCGTCAATCTTGGAGATGATCCAAGGTCAGGATGGTCTTGCCTCATAACGCTGACCAAGGAACCAACATTGGTAGAGGCGAACAAGGGTAATCGCCGGGGGACAGTGCGGCAGATTACTCACAAAATTGAGACTTCTGGCGTTGAAGTAAACAAAGTTTTAGTTTGCAATTGACCAAAAGCAATGGGGGCAATGTGCAAATGTTGGTGGTTCAAGCCATCATTGAATCCCGAGCAAATGTGGGCCAGATTGGTGTTTGTAGTGAGTGAGGCCAGCAAGAGAAGGATGGTGTACGATTCTGCATTGATTCAGAATTCAACCCATGTGGATAAAACTTTGGCGGACGGTGAGCACGCACATTATTGCCCCTAGGAAGTAATGGATCGTGTTGCCATAGTCCAGCACAAGAGCCACATTCCAAAAACAATGTTCATTGTGGTAAACGCTAGATCCGGCCCATCAATCCGATAGGAAGATTAGAAGTGGGCATGTGTCCAAAGAGGATGTGGCAGGAAAATGCAATAGTACCACCAAAATAGGGACAAATACTAAGTGGTGGTGGGACACCACCATAGACTCTGCTTGGTATCACATAGTTTGGTGGAAATGGATAAGTGATAGAACATATTGGGGTTAGACAAGCCCGATAGCATGAGGAACTCAAGGAGTGTGTAGCGATGGGCAGGAACTTTCTAAGAATGCTCTGTATTTCTTGATTTATAGTGTTAGTTCTGTGGAATGGGGATCCACATCCATTGAAAATCAACAAAGGAATCCAAATCTGGTGTCAAATTGACCAGTTGTGTTGATCTTAAAAAGTTATTGTGAGAAAAAAAATCCGGACAATACTTTTGAGATGGAGGTAGTATATGCATTTCATCAGTCTTCTGCATGCTAAAACACGAAAATACCCCAAACCCGTAAACTATGCACATTTTTGAACGCATGTTATTTGGCTCTTTTTTTCCTAGTGTAGGGCATGGGATCGCACCTGCTAATCACATTCCACACCGAAATCTCTCTGCAGTCCAAGGCGATGCAACACACAACGCCTTTCAGGGAAGAAGTGGTAAATGAAGTACCGTAAAGTACCGAGCCATGTGCCAATCCGAGGCGCCTCCGATTGTGCATTGTGCGCGATGTCTGCAACCCAATAGGAAGTTGCACAATCAAAGTTTGGAAGGTTAAATCTTCCAAGCTTGGGGCCTGGTACCCATGAAGCCCGGGCCTTCCAGTGCTGGGGGCCTTGGGTGCATGCACCCTGCGACAGTGTTGCAATGCATGACAGCACCGTCGCAGGTGTGCTGAAGCAGGCAGCAGGGCATGTAGGCGTGTGCACACAAGGCAATGCATCAGACATGGGCGCAGGTCGCTGAAACGCGTGCACTGTGCTTCAGCAATTAATGTCAAATGGAACGTGTGCGCCATACTTAAGCATGCATGGAAAATCGAAACACTGAGTCGGCGCGGGCCAGAGGACGGGGGACGTCAAGACAGCATGCAAGCATCACGGGCACAATACAGAGGAACGTGCTTACAGAAGGGACCTGCCAGCCACCAGTACAAAAATGGCGAAAATACACGGCTTTAAAGCCGTGCACCGTGTAACGCGATTGAAAAATGGTGTCAAACCATGTTAAAATAATGCATTTATCGTACAAAATGGCACCAACTCGTGTAGTAACGATCGCGTGATCACCCAATCATGTACGCTCATGAGTGCACATGATTTTTATACGTTTCCACGTGATTTTACATAATTTCTACACGGTTTGAGACCGTGTATTCTGCCGATCTTTGGTTGTGATCGGTAGGTTGGGTATTTAAAATGTGCGAATATGCAGCGCTGCCCCACGGGTGGAGTTCCAGAGCGCTGGGCGTGTCCGGTGCCAAGCTAATCATTACTGGGAGACAGTCCACTTAAGCGGTTAGCATTAATGCGCACGTCCGCCGCACGCCTGACATTTAGGCACAGATGTATGCAATGTGTCTAGCTGGCCAATAGTGGAGCATAAGCGCGTGCAGTGCGTGTGTATTTCCGAAACGCAACCGCAATAGTGCGCAATACATTATCAATTAAACAACCGAACGCACGCTCTACTTACCCCTGGCACTTGGACATTAAAATCCATGAACGGAAAAGAAAGAACGTTCGTTCTTGCCCTTTTCCGTAATGAGAGCGCTTCAGCGACGGTTGGCAGGGGTGTACTCCAATTGTTATAGAGATTCTGTTACAACAATAACCTGTCCTATAAGGATGTTGAGTATCCTGCTCTGTAATTGTCTCTAAGACTACGATCAAAGGCTAATCAGCTGTAAAACGTGGATATGCAAAACGAATGATTTCAGGATAAGCAAATGCACAGTGGATGATAACATAGCTGGCAAGTGGGCAGGGATATGTCATGAATAAGGGAAGTACGAAAAGGAGATCTGATAACCGCTGATGGGGCCTTGCGGCGAAACGGGATGCACCATGAGGGAGTTATTAATAGCCACTGATGGGATAGATGATGGGGAAACACCGTAACAGAGTAACGCCATGGAAATGTGGAATGGTGACAGCACAATAGGGTCACGCTGGTCACAGAAGGGAAGCTAACGTACGGCTGACGATGTGGGGCAGGCTGTACATAAGCATGTACTTCATACAAAAGCGACGCCCCGCGTGCTGCCCAATACAGCTACAGACTCAATTCTCGCATTGCGCTAGCAAACTCTGCAGCACCCTCGACCATGCCAACTTAAGAGATGCAAGTGCTATCACCGCTTGGATTGGGAAAGGAGCACTGGCCACTTGCTGCGCATGACAATAAATGCTTATAAGCATTTTCTGATATAAATATCCCGCAGACAAGCTTTTTATTGGAATGCCTGTCAGCCGGAGGCCCTAACCACAACTCTTTCTCCTTGGCTCACGCTCCCGTCGTTCCATCCATTGATCGTCATTTGAAAGCCGCTGGGTTGGCAATTACAACGCGCCGATCACCTGGGCGCGTTGCTTATCGCCATTTAGCATCTGTCGCCGATCTCCAAAATCTGTAACGCCATTTCAGGGAATAAATTGTCAACCAAGTACCACAAAGTACTGAGCCTTGTGCCATGCTTTCCAGCAATTGTGTGCTGTGCCCCAGTACACCGTCAGTGAAACGTACGCCCTGCTTGCCACCCTGTCCCACGGACTCGCTCCCAGCGACAACAACCCGCCAAAGCCACCATGAGTGACATGTCCAAATTTGCACACATCCCAAAAGATATTTGCAGGGGGCTTTCCGAACGC